ACTGTGGACCTGTCAATACATTTAATTCATGAAAGTGTAGCTGGCCAGAAACTAGCAGGTGTTGCCTTCCATGTTGTACTCCCAATAATTGAGCAGTTAGGGCATTTGCCTAGGAAATAACAAGAGATCTGGGGCTCCTATACACATGCAGGGAGGCTGCCCCAATGTGCTGTAATTACAGCCCATTGGAGCAGACTTGGCTAGCAATTACTGCGTTCCAGCAGACTCCAGCTTCAACTGTATCAGCATCCCTGTGCTGGAAAAAAGGCAGCGGCTCATTCAATGAGCTTTAGTTAAAACACCCCCACCACCATTTTTCATCATGGAGATGCTGATACATGTGATTCTCCAGGTACTTTAATTAGCACAGTTCTAAGAGCGCACTAATTAAAGCACCCATCTTCCATCTCCTGGAGCATGTTTATAAATGCCTCTGGTTTCTATACCCTTTTACCTAGAGGGTATTTGAATCTGCATCTCTCTCACTTCCCAGCACAGCATTCTAAACAGCTGCATTGCATAGTGCTCTCTCCAGCCCTCTTTTTAAAGTTAAGCCCCTGCCTTTCTCATTTTAATAATCATTGGATAAAATGGATGTAGACCAGTACAGTAAGGAAGTTTCTGCCTTGTTGGAAGCAAGAATTCAGGCCAGAACTTGAGGCATGCTCCCTTCTAGAGACATTGCACTGAGTTGCACATCATCTTGTGTGTTCTCTTCCTCCTTACCCTATTATCTTGCTTTTTTTGGCTGTCCAGAGGGCTAGCTTCAAGTGGAGATAGGGTTTAGATAAACCACAGCATGTGGTGTGATGGTTAGAGCACTGTGCTGAGATGTTGGAGACATGTAGGTTCAGACCTTCTGTGGGTAAGGGCATTCAACACAATGTGCCCATGAGTTTGGCCAACTACATATTTCTCACTTACAAACTTAAGGAGCACAAAGGCAACTGTATATGAGCAGAGGTGACCCAAGCAGGGTGCAGGATCCAGGGCAAATCAGCCCATGCGGGGCCCCATCCCCACTCCGATCCCGGGCCCAAAGAAGCTGCCACTGCCATAGGCTGCGGCAGCAGTGGCAGGGGTAATGAGTGGCTGGACACGGAGCTGCTGCTCCACACTGCTGCTGCTCTGCCCCACTCCATGGGGGCCCCTCAAAGCATGGGGCCCAGGGCAGTTGCCCCAATTTGCCCTTCCCTAGGGACAGCCCTGCCTATGAGCCTGGCCAGCGTGTAGCTAGGTGTGCGTGCTCAGCCTATGTACAAATACTTACATGTCCACACTGCAGGAGGAGTAGAATCACAACTTGCCTATAAAAGTCAAAAATGCCACTCATGTAGTCAAAACCTGCCTTTTAAGCTGAACAGGCAGGGCTTTCTCTACTGGGCATTGGCATAACTGTATTAAAGTCAACCCTGGGTTGGGGCCAGAGCTGGAGCCTCAGACAGAGCTGCAGCTGCTTCCTGCTGCCTCTGCATACCCTGCCACTCCTCCCCTGCGGCCCCCAGTCTCTCTCCCTCCCTCCCATACCACTTCTCTCCCTCTCTCTGCTAAAGTCCTCCTTAGGTTTGCTGTACACTGGCAGGCTCTGTCCCTGCTGAAGCGTGGGGCACAAAGCGTGGTTCCAGCCCTGTAGCAGCAGTGTCAGCTCTGCATCGCTGCTACAGGGTCCACGTTGCAAGAACCATCTTCCATGCCCGAGACTGCAGGAGGAATGGAGGTTGCCAGACCAAAAGTAGAGGGGGAAGGAGGGGCAGGCAGAGGGGAAGATTGGAAGAAGGGAGTGGGGACCTGAGCCTGCAGGGGGCAGAAGTGGCACGGAAGGGAGAAGTGGAAACAGAGGAAGGGGAATCGGGGCATCCTGAGGCTGCAGGGTGGGTAGGCACAATGGGGGTGGGTAACGGGGGAACAGGTAGCAGGGGGCAAGCTGCCTGCCTCTTTCACTGCTTGCTTCACTGCCTCCACAATGCCTGCCTCCTGCCCTACCTTGTGTCCGCTTACTGTCTGTCCTTCACCGCCTGCCCCATTACTGCTGCCTCATCACCTCCCTCCCTGCAGTAGTGGGGGAGGGGAGATGGTTTAAGATGATCCTCCAATGATTAGGTTCCACACATGGAAAATTAATAGTTTATAATTTTTTGTGGGTAGAATCTAATTATTGGTGGGGGGTTGTCTTACATTCAGGGTCATCTTCTATTTGAGTAAATATGATACTTCAGAATAAACAGGTACAGAAATTGGCCCAAGAGATGTTCCAACCATGATGCTGAATTAATGATTGGTATTTTAAGGTAATAATAACATTTACAAGAGAGTGTTTATGTTTGTTTTCTTTAGGACCAATGTCCGGAGGCTTCAACTTCCAGGTGACAGATGGTTTGAACTTTGCACCTCGACAGATTTTTAGCGTCACAGCTCAGACTCTACTTATCAGCCTAGAAATAAACAAAGGACTTAGCATCTTTCCAGGTAGGGCCTCACTAGATTATTTGAATTTAATTTATTTGCAATATGTAGCGGAAATAATATATACAAATTAATATCTAAATGACTATATAATAGGCCCCTGCAGGCATCTACTATATGCACACTTGTAACTTTAAAATGACAATTTAATTACCTTTTCAGTGTTGTTGATTTTTATGATCTTTAAATTTACTGGTAAACATGGACCTGATGTGACAGAAATGGGTACTGAAATACATGCCAATGTGACCGCTAATACATTTACATTTAACCAGTGGATCGTCTTAAACTGAATTAATTAAAAAAATTGTTAGCAAATTCATGGAAGCTAAGAAGGAAAGTGGCTATTACAATCCAGAACCTGTTTCAGTGGTTGATAATTTTGCCCAAGAGTAACTATGTGATTATCCTCAGGGTTTTGACTAGCAAGTTTGACAACAACCTGATGCTGGCTAAATTTGCTATTGCTTGAGAAAGTTATGAAGAGCAGCGCTGATTTATCATTGCTTTTCTAATGATTCAGAAAGATGGGGCTGCTTTGACTCACATTTGGAAGTCTGTATTTGTAACCATAAGGGCTAGCACATTAATTATGTCGATAAAAGCTTGCCTCTGCAGGAGCTGAAATATTAGGAGTCATGCTTATCAGAGATGTTTCCTACTCATGTCTGTGTAGGTTCTTGCCTATTTACTAGTCCTACCTGAGAGTGGCTTAGAATGATTTAATAGTGTAACTAGTACCTGGAGTCAGGAGGTATATATCTGCAATGGATGAGGGCTTAACTTATGCAACTCTGGCTTACATCTTGTTCATAGAACCTTAAGAACTAGGGGTGTGTAGATGAAACGGGGACCCTAAATTGAAGTAATGGGTTTTAAACACACTGCTTCAATTTAGGGCTGATTAAACCCCCATGTTGTGCACACATCCTACTGACTTACCTGCGTCTCTGGCAGAGAGGGGAGGGTGAGCTGCCAGTGGGCGGAGCGGTCCCTGGGCTGGGGAGACGGGGGTTGATACGGCGGCTGGAATTAATGAGCAATGCACCGCTGAAGCATGCAAACGCCAACACCATTAAAGTGGTGCAGAAGCATTTAGCCCACTTTAAAGTGTCGTGCACACATGCCTCTCATTTCGTCTACACATGGCCAAAATTACCATGGTTACCTGAATCCAAGATAACTCTGAATTTAAGACAGTGCCCCAAAATTAGATTCTACACATGGAAAATTATACATTTGTTATAATTTTCCATGTATGACATCTAATTATTGGATGGAAAGCAGCAGCAAAGGGGGCAACCTGTAGGGAGGCAAGTGGTGGGGAGAGGGGTAGGTAGCTTGACCCTGGCAGCTTATCCCCCACTCGTGCCTCACTTTGGTCCCCTTTGTCTTCCCTCCTGGTGTCTGCCTTCCACTGTGCCTGCCCCCTCGCCATTTGTGCCCCCACACTACCTGACACCCTGCTGCCTCTCCTGCCCTTCCCCAGTGCTGCAGGCAGCTTCTGTGCTGGTCCTGTTCTGCTCCCTGGCTCTGCGCTGATTCCCTTGGCACTCTCCAGCTTCACACTGGGTCTCGTGCTGCTCCCTGGCTCCATGCTGAGGACTCGGCAGGAATCGCATAGTGTTAGGGAGTGGCGAGGGAATCAGCACAGAATCGGGGAGTAGCACAGGAGCCAGTGCTTACTTCAGGGACTGTTACTCAATCTAAGACAAGGTTTCATTTTCCCCATGTTGACTGGGGCAAAAGGACTTTATCTTGGAATTGAGTACATGTGGTAGCTTTGTAAGAACACTCTTCTGTGACACCTGTCACACAAGTGGTGTATTTCCTGAATTACTTTTGACTTTCAGAGTCTGTGGCCCAGCAAGATGGAGGAATTCACCACTTGGAAAGGCTGCATTGTAGTATTCAACTATGCCTTGTCTATTAATTCAGAGGGAAATATTTTAGATTCATCTTCCCTGATGAACACAAGCCACTTAAACAAAGGACGTGTAAAATTAGGCTATTGCAGCATTGTCTTGTAATTTGCTCAGAATAATTGGGATTCGAGTAAATCCACCTACAAATATTATTAGCCAGCCTGTTGTTTTTGGTGTGTACAATTACTGCAGGCACAGGGATTATAGGAATTTCTGTATTAAGCCAAAGATAACTATAAGAAAAATTCTCCAGCAACATTTTTAAAAGAAGAGTCACTAGACTTTCTGACAACTCTTCAGCGCACAAAAGATGATACTTCTTTCCCCATCTAAAGCTGTGTTCAACTAGGGCTACAAACTTGCTGAACTATTTTTAAATACCTATTGACAAAAAGGGTTTTGGGGTTTTTTTTACCCTTCGGTTGATCTGAATTTTTTAGAGTCCCACCTCCTCCCCTTTCCTCTTTTTTGAAACTTAATTCACAAAAAAGAAAAAGAAAAAGTGCTCCTAAATGTTGTCTACAGTGTATACATGAATCTGGTTTTATTTGTTTTTGCCAGACATCTGTCCTTTAGCTATTTTGTTACGGCCATGTCCACAGCATAAGCACTAGCTTCTCACTGACAAATATTTAATAGCCACTTTTTGACTATATTTTATGACATTGCAGGAAGGCTTAGTTGCAGTAATCTCTGATGCTTTTCTTCAGAAGGGCATAAGCAGCTCTCCCCAGTTTTCTGACCTAAGGATTTGCATTACTTTCCATATGTCCAGCCACCCTAGTTCACATAGAATATACCAGATTCACTGGTGCAGTGTAGGAATTTCTTTTCAAGTCTCAGTGCAGTTTGTTTCATTCAGCATGCTCAGTGTGTTAGCTGATTGTCATGAAAACTTCATCTTGCATTTTTACATCTGACTGACCATAAGTGTCTATGGATTATGATGCCTTCTGCTGGTACCTCCTGTTGGCAAAGCCACAGGGAATCAGGTAGTGCCAGGAGGTGGCAAAGAAGGGTTGCCACAAAGGAAGAGATTTCAAGTGGTAAGATGTTTCTCAACCTTTTTAGACTCAAGGAACCCTTTAATAGACTTGAGGGACTTGGAAGATGACAGCTCTTTATTTTCACTCATTTTTTTGATGACAGAAAAGTAATAGAGCAGTTCATCTGTTGCAAAAAACTCAGAACACAACAGGGAAGAATGTTTTTAACTATGTGCATTCCTATTTGAAATCTCTGTTTTTATCTTGTGAATCTTGATTGCACACCTAACAGCACTCCACAGCACCCTTGAAAGGATCTGAAGACACCCCAGAGTACCGTGGCACCCTGGTTGAGAATTACTGGTTTGCATGATATAACTTGAGTCCAAAACAGTTTCTGTAAGAGGAGATCACTACTTTTGATAAGAGTTATGCAGAAATAGAATTGCCTGAACTAGTTTGTGGTGAATGGAATAGTTCCCTGCTGTGTGTCTGTTCACAACTATACATCTCCACACTGTAACGGCTACACAAGAGCTAATTTGCATAAAAATAATACAGTACTACTATCGAGAAGTAATCACATTGTGTGAGCAAGTTGTTTTGGATGGCTGTTGCCCTGTACTCCACATCCAGGTGCCCACAGCAGACATAGCAACTTGATGCTTCCCTCACCATTTTATGAAACAGAAGAGAAAGGAAAGAAAAAGGCAAAAAGAAGTGAGGAGATGAAGAGGAAGGAAATGCTTTAAGATGCATGTGAAGTATAAAACCTCTGTTGACTGTCAAAGGGACAGGGTGATAGGAGGGTGGGAAGCAGAGGGAACTGGAAGTTTTAATTTCAGTATAGCAACAACTCCTCAAAGGAGCTGCTTCAAAGTGGATGCAGTTGGAACCAGGATACAGCTATTACCTTGTAAACAGGGAGAACCATTAAGTTAACATGAATGACAAATTCCCATTCCTTATACTTACCATAACTTTCCTTTAAAAATGGTGTACAGAAATATGTTGTTCTAAATTACCCATCTGCAAAGATTGTTTTAGTGGAGACTGGTTGATGATTCAGTCTCCAGTGATATATATTACTTGTGTCCAAAAGTATATATTTATACACATAAATGCTTGTTGTTAAAGGAAGAAGCTAAAGTTAGAAGTTGTGGGGAGAAGCAGGAAATTTATAAGATTATTCTTTATCATAATCCAGGTCTTCCAACTTCTGAGCAGGCAGATATCATACACTGTGCAGGGCCTATCAGCCTCCTCCCAGGGCCTATGCCACTCCATCCTGCAGGGCAGAGGCAGGAAGTGGTAGCTGGAGGAGGGAGCAGGAGCCTGAAGAGCCTGATCACAGCAGCAGCAGGAGCAATGCAGGCAGTGGTGCCTGGGTGGGATCCTGCAGACTGCTAGCTAGGCTGCCAGTTGGACAGTCCTTTTGTGATCTTTGAGAAACCATTGGCCTACAAGTGCAAAAATACAATTGCTTTTCAGTGAGACAAAGTGTTATTGTTCTAAAGTTTCCTACGTATGATTTGTGAAAAGAGGTTATATCAAAAGGAAGATGCTCAGAGAGATTTTTAATGAACAGATGAGCTCTTTATATTATAGCTGTAAATTATTTTAACTTAGAATAAAGCTAACAGCATGCAGTAATACCCATTGGACAAGCTGCTTGTGTGGCATTTGGAGATGTATACTTTTTCCTGTTAGATTTTTCTCTGTCAGGAAATGGTTGGTGTTGTTCTGTGTCACAACGCTTCTATAAATTGCCTAAGTTTGGTCAAGTTCCAGAATGCCAGTTAGTAACCTAGACTGTGACAGTCCCTGGTTGTTACACAGCGATGTACTGCGAAAGAAGTTTGGTCCTCTCCAGATCAGAATCATGCATTCAGCATTATTAAAATACATGCAATTTCAAAGCATTGTGTCACTTGTACAGCACCCTCACTCATATAAAAACAATCAGTGATTTGTGTTTTAATCATATTTGAAGGATGACATTGATGCTCTATTGGTGACAGAAGCAACGTGTAGCTTATTGCTATAAAATGATACCAGTTCATGTGTGCCATCTGGATTGCAAAGACTGACATAATGAACCTTCCTTAAACAGAACCTGACCATTTTCTTGAATTGCCTGGGAGAATGGAGATTATAAAATGTTCTTTCTTTTCTTACCTCAGCCAGATTTTTAAGCTCTCTCTCTCTTTTGAGTTGAAAGCCTCAGGACCTATTGTCGAATATGCCTCATCCCTTAATTTTTAATTTTGAGGCAATCTTTGTAGAAAGTGGTAGACAGTGTATGTTCTGCTGCTGCTTGTAATTTCCATTTTTCATTTTTATAAACTAAATAAAGCTAGTTAATATCAGTGTGTTTGCCTAGTGCTGTGCTTTGCACTGACTGTAAAACGCCCATAATTCTATGCGAACTGGGAGATAAAAATTAGAGACATAAAAAAAAATTAATTTTATGAAGTGCTTTGCAAATGCCAAGTAATATAATTTGATGACAGGCTGAGTGGTAGATATAAAAGTTCTGTTATGGTTAAAAAAAAAAATACATTGTTGTAAACCTGGATTATTTTTAATTATTACTTAGGGTCTAAGAAACCTATTTCAGCTCATGATCTGAAAGCTGTAACCAATGATGTGGCTAACACAGGAAACAGAACGATAACTTTTACAGTTTTACATTCCCCAAAACTTGGAAGACTGATCAGAACAGATTCCAGCAACACCACCCAGGATATTTTCAGTTTTACCCAATCCATGGTAAGCATTTCTGTTATAAAAATTACAGGGAAAGACTGCAAGTATAAAATTCATCCCACTTTTTCATTCTGTGCCAAGTTCTTTCACTCACATTTTCATGCCAGACATGTGTGACTCGTCACTGTTATTGCGCAGTTACAGTGTGTTATTTAATGTTTGGCATCTTGCAGTGACCCACAATGAGAAACCTTTGTTTTCCCTCCTGGAGATTTGCAGTCTCAACAATTTATATTCTAATGTTTTGACTGCAGTGGTATTTTTTTTTTTTAACTAACAGTGGATGGTCCAGTTTTGTTACACTAACAGTTGGATGATCTCGTTTCACTTCCTCGTGAGATGTTAGAAGGTTTTAGGGGGGAAGAAGTCATCTCTGGCAATGCACAACACCAATTGTCAGGCTTAGATTGTGCACAGCTCCTATTGGCTGCTTCATCCATGGTTTTTGTGGGTTTTACACAACTAATTGTATTCAAAAAACAATTCAGGAGCTTAATATGTTGAGTTTACAGAAGCAAAAGCAGGGCTAAAACATGAGACACTTTTCCTCTGGTGTCTAACATCTGTTAGCAATGGGAATCTGGTCTGCTATGTTTTTGTAAATTAGATGCATGTACACACAATTGTGCATATGTAGCTGTGTACCTGCCCAGCCAGTCTGTAGTCTACAGTGTATGCTCAGTGTGTGCACACATGCTTACACATCTACACTGCAGGGGAAAAAGAATCGCTATCTCCTGGTAAGTGCCAAAAATGCCACTTAATGTGGCTAGAATATTGCCACAATGGGAAATAAAATTCTGCCCTGGGAGCTCAGGATTATACAAATGGTCAATAGGATTTTAAGTAAAAAAAAAAAATAAAAAGAGAAGAAAAAATGTTGAAGTCCATGAAGAGGAAGAAATTGTTTCTGTTTAATAAAAGTCTCATGAATCAAGTTTAAGTCTGAAAGCATACTGGTTCCATTCAGTTCTGGTGACTTCCGCTGGCACCTCAGTGTGTCCAGAAGTAAAACTCATTTATCTGGTCTACAAAATAAGTCAGTCCTTCTGCTGGAGTGGTTATCTCTTCCTGATGTCTGTGGTTTTGCTACCCCATTGTTAAATAAAGCTGTAATCGCCATCCACTTTCCACAGGACTCGTTCGAGGCCAGCCATTTTACAGTCAGGATAAGAAAGCTAATTTGTACATCAGACTTTTCCAAGCCTGTTAAACAGATTAGTTTCGAATGCGGGGTTGTTTTGCTCCATAACCACCGCTTGCTATGATATCTCCAAGGTATTTCTGTCTTGCAAGAAGCTATTACCTTCCTCTCCAGGCAGCAAATCTGAATGTCTATTTAATTAAACCAAATAGAACTTATTTAATTATCTTCTAATTTGATCATCTGAGTTAAGTGTTGCATAAATGGAGCAAGCAAATCCACACCAGTAGCAGCCTTTCAGTAACCCAGATGCAACATACGGATGTAATAAAAATCCCTAAATAGATTAAAAATAAATATGAAAAATCATAGATTTTATGGGCTGATGATAATCCCTACTCTTATTTGGTAAATATATGTGATCCAATTGAAAGCTTAGACTTGCCCTTAGGAGCTTTATGCTGTTCTAACATCTACATAGACATGTGGCTGTTTTCCACTCGGCTACACATCAGCCCCAGAGGGCAGCATTTATAGACAGCCTCCAGAGCAGTACAGGGAAAATTGTAAGCTGCTCTTTTTGGGGATGGGCAGCATAGAAATCAAAGAAAGAACCATGCAGAAAGAAGCTTTCTTTACCTAAATCTGAACTTTTAGGGCAAATCAAGTTATAGTGCTTTGGAAGTTATTTTGAAAATTGGTCTGAAGAACCAGTTTCCCCATTAACTTAAGGGAAGTTTGCTGTTGATTTTAGTAGGAGTGGGATGAGCTTCCATCACTTGGGGCTGAGATGATGTACTGCTATGTGCTTTACTCAAAATAACTAGAATTGATCAGTTCATTTAAAAGTATTGCACAAAAACCTTATGACAGTGAATTCTGTGGGATTTCTGCAAGGTCATTGGTGGCTAATAAGCTTGAGGAGGCTTAATTGTCCTTATCACCTAGTAGTGCTAATTAGTCTACGTAAGGTGCCACACAGACATGCCTACACTGCTTCTTGGTGCCCTCCCCAAAGCTGTACACTGCATTTCAGGGCATTGCTGCTGGGCGTGATAAGTTCATCAGGCAAAGTAGTAGATTGTGGATTAAACACAGAGCCAATACCCTCTCAAGCAGTTACAAACTAAGGCCCCTAGTGAAATAGTGGTGAGATTGAGATTGCAGGAATTTTATGCCCTATCCCAAACATTGCACCTCTTGTCATACCAGACATGCATGGTATGAGCTGCAGTGTTTGGGGCATAAAATTCCTCCAGTCCCAGTTGCACCACTGCTGCCCCCAGCCCACTCCTGCAGATGGACTCAAGATCCTACAGATCAGGCTACACAGCTTTATCCTAGACCCAGGGCTTCCCTTAGCTCCCTGTAGTTTCCAGACCCAGGGCTGTTGGGGCTGGATCCAACAATCAGCTGATTGTCAGACCTGACATAACAGCCCCATGTCTCAAACTGGACTGAGGACTTTCAGGGTCAGGTCCTGGGTTCTGACAGCTCAAGGTAGGCTTAGGACCCATAGCAGTTAAGAATGGGTCTGACAATCAGCTGACTGTTGCACCCAGCCTTGGCAGCCTGGGGTTCGTTCAAGACCCTAACAGTTCCAGCTCCAGTTAAAGACCTAGGGCAGTCAGGGTTGGGTCTGACAGTCAGCTGATGGTTGACCTAGCCCTAGGAGAGCCCAGCTGCATGCATGGTTTTTAGACATCCCGGGGCACTGGGACCCTCTTCCCCCATCCTGGAACCCCCATGTTCCAAGATATCTAAAAAGCATAGTTCAGCCCAGCTCCCCGCAACCTGGCATTTATAAGGGCCTCAGCCTGCAGCCTTTGTGGCAAGGCAGAAAAGGCTGCTGGGCTCCAGAGTTACCGGGTTCCCAGTAGCCAGAGCTCCTTGCCACCTTCTTCCTCCACCAGGAGACCTTGTAACTGGGTCTCTCAATAGCCAATTTTCAGCATGGGGACTAGGGCTGTACTAGTTCCAATGCTGACCCATATCCACCGGTGATGCTGACAATCAGCTGTTTGTGTTAGCATTAGCATGTTAGTGCTACACATTCAAATTATGGCACCATACAAATAAGCCACAAAGATGTTTCACTTTTTTTGTGGAATAACTTTGTCTGATTTGCTGCTTTATGGTGACATAAATCAGCTAAACATGTAGCACCATTACTATTTATGGTGCAATTAATTAATCGTGCCATAACAATAATGATTGTCAGAGGCCGAATGCACATCAGGTCAGATGAGTGCAGTACTTGAATGGGATATCTGCATGGATTTGGTAAGCAGAACTGTCTTCTCTAAGTCAGTGAAAAAATAACCCAGCCAAGGATAAATCCAATAGATGAGAACTTTAAAAAAATCTTATTTTTTTTCTGGCCATTAGAGATTGCATAGCATTTTCACAAGATTCTGGATTCCAGCCCTGAGGTTTTGACCAGATTCCAGGAGTTGCTTTCTTTAGGCCAGCAACTCACATGACCGTGATAAGCCAGAGACTCACATGACCATGTATTTTTCATTTCTTGCCCTACACTGCTGCACACTCTTGCTGCGTGCTGTTGACTAGATGCTACATTCTCCGAGATTGAGGCACTTCAACAGCAGGAAAACTGATTATTTGTGTGTGTGTGTGTGCGTATGTTATGTATATGTATGTATGTTTGTGTATCTCCTAGGAATACTGGAGAAACATTCATGGTAAGCTTAAACAAGTTAGTTAATAGAGTCAAGTCACAGCAGCAGCATGGAACCAAAACAGGCTAATTTACCCTATGTGTTAGCTTCCATCTGTTCTCCAGCTGCTTCTCAGCAAGACAAATTAACTCAGGCTGAGCTCCATACTGCCGTGACTAGACTGCTTGCACTACGTGAGCTAGTTTGTCTGCACACGTGCACAGAATGTTTCTTTGAAGATGTATGGCAAAATTCTTGCTTGAGCTTTGACTCCTTTCTGACCCTCAAGGCGGCAGTAGCATGGTATAACTGTAGCCTGTAGGGGAGAGCCTTGTTCTCTACTGGCTAATGGGTGGCACCCCCAAATGAATATACAGGTTTCTCACTAAACACTCCACTCAGCTTCTCTAATGCCCATGGTTGGTGAAGGAGAATCTCTAATAAGAGCATGACTTAACTGTCAATGCTTCAGCTTCTTCAGGGTTCAGCAGTGCCCCCTTGTATCCTCTTAGCACAAGAAGCCAAAGATTTTCCCAAGCTTGGGCTCCATGACACAATTTTAATATATTGTACATTAAGCTTTCATTCTCCAGAAGGGGGAACCTGCACAGCTGGTAACCTGAGAGAGGGAAACCTTATTTGCTTCTGCTTCTCTGCAGATACCATCCTTCAGGATTTCTACTCATTCCCCACTTCCCCTCTGGTTGCCATATTTGAGTTATCTTATGTGGTCACCTTTGTATTATCAGGGTCTGGCTCATGTTGCATATGACTTCTGTCACCCTCAATGAGAAGCAGACTTAAGAGTTAGGGGAGTTCCTGACAGCCTGGTATTAAGGAACTAGAAGTCTACACATAATCAGAAAAGGAGAATTACAAGCAGCTGTGGCATCTGTCATACAGTAGAGATGGGGACACAGTGCTCTTTCAGACTGTTGTGCTTGTAATTTGTATCCCATTGTACCTGTGCCTTCAAAGAGCCTGACTTCCTCTGTTTTGTCAGGTGGATGAAGGTCTGGTCATTTATGAGCATACGCAGATTGAGGCAGTGGGCTGGAATGGAGAAGATTCTTTTACTTTTACAGTTTCTTCCCCACCCGCAACTCTAGATCTCCAGGTGTTTCACATTGCCATTTCATATGATATTAATAGACATGATCACAATAGTCATCTGCTTGCAAATACAGGTAAGGTTACTGTGGCTGTTTATGATTTCCTGTGGGTCTAACAAGCAAAATAGAAAAACCGAGTTTTCCTAATTATTTACAATTCCCAATTATTTAATTAAAAATGTATAGGGACACTGCCCTCAAGTCTAGGTAAAGCTCAAAATATAATTTTCATACAATTTTTAAAAATTATTATTATTTATTTTGTATGCCTTTGCTACTGGGTGAGAAGACAAGCTTGGAAAACTAATGTTTCTTAAACCTTTTAAAATGTAAAAAATCTTAAAATATCTTAAAAACTCTTAATGTGGGGGTGGGGATCATCTTTTGCTGTAATTGTGTGGAAGTAATACAAGGGAAAATACATAGTGCATCTATAGCTATATCCTATCAGTACATCTTTAATTCAACTCCCATACATTAGCATAGGAATTTAGCCATCATTTTTAAAGCACTCTATTGTAAAATTCTAATACTATATTTCTAGCTGTATCAGATGATAATGTGGGATATTTAGAAGGTAGGACTCTCTATCACTGTTTCCTGAGCACCAACCTTATTTTATGCTGCTGCATATCCATTTCTGTTCTCCTTTCCACAAGGTGCTGTTGTCCAGGAAGGAGGAAAAGTCCTAATCAACAAAATGAACTTGGATGCTTCAAATCTGTTGGTTAAGTTACCTGAGATAGAACGTTCCATGTATGAAGTCTGGTATCAAGTCATATCTTTACCACAGCATGGCATTATTGTTGTTGGCGAAAGAAATATTACCAAAGAAAAACCTAACTTCTCCCAATACATACTTAACAAATTTGGAATCACATATGTACATGATAATTCTGAGTCATTCACTGACCATTTCACTTTTGCTGTTTGGTTAAACCTGAAGAGCAAGACTGCAACAAAGCCTGATGCTGACATTTTGGAAGAGATGTTTAATATCACTGTGGTTCCAGTGAATGACCAGCCTCCGGAGCTGAAGACAAAAAGGCTGCATTTGAAATTCTTGCAAGGAGATGCATTTGTGCTAGGGCCAGAAAATCTGAAAGTTGAAGACTTAGACAACACTCCAGGAGAAATCAAATACACCATCATTAGCAATCCCAGTAATGGCTTTTTAGCAATGACAAATGATCTCACTGTACCTGTACAGGATTTCACACAAGCTCATATTGATAGTGGCAGAGTTTGGTTTGTACATGATGGAAGTTCATCATCTGGGGTCTTTTACTTCAGTGTGACTGATGGCAAACATCGTCCATTATACAAACTTTTCAATCTTGAAGTCACACCAGTTTCCCTCGTCATAGTCAACCTTACAGATGTAGTACTTCCGCAGGGCCAGACCTCAGTCGCTATTACGTATGTACAGCTATCAGCTACAACAAATGGGAAAAACACCAACATTAGTTATGAAGTAACAGAGCCTCTCAACTATGGACATCTGATGATTGGAAGTAAGCAGGTTACTAAGTTTGAACAGGCAGACCTGCACACAGGGAGACTGTCTTATCACATGACAAATCTCAGTGCATCCCAGGATAGGTTGGAGTTCATGCTGTTCACTTCAGAAAGCAATCTAACAGGACAGGTTCTGAAAATCACGTGCAGGCCTTTGGTGCAGGTTGCATCTGACCTAAAAATTCCAAATAGGGTAGCTTATAAATTAGGGATCAGTGATCTGGATGCTACTGAATTAGCTAACAGGACAGATAGCAACCCCAAATTTGAAGTGGTAGAGCCCCCAGCTCATGGCAGAATTGTAAGAAGACAGTCAATAAATGGTGCTAAATTTGAAGAAATTAGTATGTTCACACAGGATGATATTGACAGAGGTCTAGTGCTGCTTGATATAGATGCAAATATGACGAGCACTGATGTTTTAAATGACTCGTTCGTATTTATTCTCCAGGCAGATAATGTGCAGCCAGCTGTAGGCTGTTTACAGTATTCCATTGTGCCATATGATCCTTTACTTGTGCAGGGTTTTACTACTGAGGTGCGTTTCTCAACCACAGTAAATACTTTACAGAGTCATACCACCTTGAAGAGTGAACCACCAGCTTCGTCACAGAATGAGGGACATATGGAAGGACCAAGACAGACTGTCCATACCAGGTGGCGACATCAAAATCGCTGGGGCAGTCAACGTGATGAGGATTCATGGCTTAACCTAGAAGCTGCAGTGAACAAATCCACATGGACTGAGACTATGATCAAAGCAAATGGCCAAAGTCCCAGAGTGCAGCTGAGTGAAAGCAGCAACCCTTTGTCTATCATTATCCCTCTTGTGTCAGTGTCTCTTTTACTCATCGTTTTTGTGATTTCTGTGTGTATTCTGTTACTGTGTCATAAGAAAGAAAAGGCAAAACCCCTCATCAAAAATCAAACTCTCATAGTCCCCAGTAGTCCAGGTCCTTGTCCAGAACGGAGCTTGACTGTGCCCACAGTCACAGTGACTCCTCTGCTTAATGGGGCTGAAAACCCCACAGCCTCCCCCTTCACAGCAGTCAGATGTGAACGGTTGCTTCCCACACCGGTTGTTCCAACTGATAAAAGATCTTTGCAAAACAAGTGGTTAAACCTTGATCCTGAGATGATACAGCACTGTCGAAAAACAAACCCAACTTTGAAACGCAGTCAGTATTGGGTATAGAGCATGGCTAGCTTTCTAGACAAGGCAAACAAGCTTCTTTAGGTGAATATGATGATATCTTTTATTAGAACAACTTAAATAGTTAGAAAAAAATTTTATAGCAAGCTTTTGGGTTTAAAAACCCTTCATCAGGCCAAGGAAGTCTCTGCTGTTGGTGTGTGCTCTTCCTGGATGGAATGAATAGTAAAGAAGCCAAAGGCTGGGCTGGTCTGCATGTAAGATAGGCAGTCGGTGAAGATGTAAATTGAGGAGTCACTGGGTGAGAGAGAGGCTGGGGTGGTGGTGGGAGAAGGGGGATGAATGTAGCAATTAAATAGTGGAGAGGTACCTGGGGAGTCAGATATCAGGCAGGTTATAATGTGTCATAAATCCAATGTCTATAGTCCATGATTTTTTGTATCCAGGAGGTTGATGAAGTGGAGTTCATAGGCTCATCTCTGGGAAGTTTTGTAAGTTTCCTTTGAGGATTAGAACTGAGAGATTGGAGAGGGAGTGGTTTTCTTGTGAAAAATGTGCCCCCACCGGTAATTTGGGTATTCTTGTCTTTGATATATTTCCAGTGTGCATTCATTCTGGTGCGCAGTTGTTGTTTGTTCTCTCCTATGTATTTTCCCTTGGGGAATTTGGTGCACTGGATGAGATGTATTACGTTTGTGGAGGTGCAGCTGCAAGATCCGGGAATGCCGATGGCTCTGTTGTGGGGTGTAGTAATTGTGGAGGGCAGTGGAGATGTGTTGGCAGGTTTTGCATTTCTTGTCATGGCATGGTCTGGATCCATTTGGTGTGTTCTGGGCCTGAGGAAGTTTGCTTCTGGTGATGAAGTTAGCGAGGTTTGGTGCTTGTTTGAAGGCTAGGATCCCCCCCCCCACCAGCATTCCTCCCACCCAGCCTGTCTCTCACCTTTCTCTCACCCACTGATTCCTCAATTTTACATCTTCACTGATTGCTTGTCTTGTATGCATACCAGCCCAGCCTCTGCCTTCTTTACTATTCATTCCATCCAGGAAGAGCACACACCAACTGCAGAGACTTCCTCAACCTGACAAAGGGCTTTTAAACCTGAAAGCTTGCTATAACATTTTTTTCCAACTATTTAAGTTGGTCTAATAAAAGATATCATATTCACCCAAAGAACCTTGTCTGCCTATGTCCTGAGACTAACATTACTACAACCTACACCCCTACTATACAATATTGACACTTGATCATTTGTTATTCTTTTTTATTTTGGGTCACATTTGGTACTCTTAGTGAAGTAAAGGTGTGATCTAAAATAAAATGAATGAAATGGTTTAATTCTTGTTGCTTTCAGTAATTTTGGGTCAAACCTTTAGTTGTTACATAAATTGTCCACTGATTTCAGTGCAATATTTGACCTTGTGTACTTTAACTCAGTATTTGCATTATATTATTTTGACCTTAGAAGGGATAAATTAGTGCATGCACTTATAGGCATGTGTGTATTTGTTTGTAACACACACACGTATACAT